TGCTGTTAAAGGACAGAAGGAGAGTCTGTCTCTCAGGGAACTCATTTCTTGTCCACTAAGAAGAAAGAGTTTGTCTCCCCAGGCTCCCACACTTGACCTTGGCCTGTCACCTTCGCCATCCTTTTTCTTTTTGATGTGTGGTGGTGTCTAACTGTGGTTTCAATTCATATCTCTCTTAATGACTGATAATGCTAAGCATCTTCTCATTTACTCATTTTTCATCTACAGTAACGATCTCTCAGGGAGCTAAAAAAATATGATATAGGAAAAAGGGGAGAGAGAACCGAGAGAATATTCTCGAGAGAGCAAGAAAGAATCCAGAGTACGCAGGAGGAGCTGGGTTTAGATAGGATAAAAATGGAAGATTCTGCTGGGTGTGGTGGGGCACGCCTTTAATCCCAGCACTCAGGAGGCAGAGGCAGGTGGATCTCTGTGAGTTTGAGACCATCCTGGTCTACAGAATGAGTTCCAGGACAGCCAGGGTAACACAGAGAAACCCTGTCTCAGAAACAAACAAACACTCCCCCCACCCCAATCTACTACTTAAGGTTCTTATGATCGGTTGTCTTTAACCCCCCCCCCTGGACCCCTTGCAGGTACACCCAGAGAGGTATGCTTTGTGGACTTCTTTGGTGTCTCTTAAGCCAATCAATTTAACAATCAAGATAAACCATGAACAGTGTGGAGAGATGGCTCACAGTTAAGAGCACTGGCTGTTCTTGCAGAGGACCTGGGTTCAGTTCCCCAGGTCACCCACATGGTGGTTCACACAATCCATAAACCAGTTACGGGGGTCTGACTTCCGTGGCCTTTTCTAACTTCCTTTTCTGACTTCCGTGGCCACCAGGCACAACACACAACACACACACACACACACACACACACTCACTCATACACACACACACACTCACACTCACACGACACTTAATCGCAGAAAATGAGGCAAATTTTAAAATAATCCTCCCTTCGTCAGCAATAAAGTGCTAGAACATGAAGGGATAGGGCAGGAATGACCTGGTGACCTGGTAAACGTGTGAGAGAATGGACAGAGAGCTTAGGGTCTGATTTCTCCAAATTTGAGGGAATTTGGGATTGCATAGTTCAGCCTGAAGAGACCTGTAAACTCTAACAGACGGTGTTGCTTGATATCATCAACTATGACCTGGGACTCCCAGGAACCAGATTTGGTTTCACTGTGACCCAGTCACCTGATCCAGACGCCTTGAGCCTCTTTGTAAGTGCAGAAGGTGTTTTTTTGGCCAGTGTTTGCACAGCTGGGCAGCATGATTCACAAACCTGTGAATTATTCATGCTTTTGACCTATTCTAATGAGAACTTCACCCAAAAGGCTAAATTATTAAGCACTGGGAGTCATCTTTGTTGCTGCTAACTAGAAAATTCACTAAAAAGCAAATTTTTTTACAGAGATGTTTTTGCTTCTTAGAGATGAAAATTTATTAATGACACATAATTGCTCTCAAAACACATAACACATGCTGGAGGGCGGTGGCGCACGCTTTTAATCCCAGCACTTGGGAGGCAGAGACAGGCGGCTCTCTGTGAGTTCGAGGCCAGCCTGGTCTACAGAGTGAGTTCCGGGACAGCCAGCGCTACACAGAGAAACCCAAAAAACCAAAACCAAATCAAACAAAACCTCCCACACACAGAGGGCAAAAGGTTCCTTGACAAGAAGAAAGCCAACACTGTTACCTGAGTAGAGGCTTTTTAAGACATGATGAACATATTTAATAATGACCACAATAGTGACCTCAAACTCGGAGCCAGGCAAAACCTTTCCCGTATAAGCGATATGCTAGGGTGTCTTCACAGCAACAAGAAAAGGAACTAAGAAACGCCTTGCTAGGAGTGACTCTGTGGTTTTGGGCTAACTGTCCAGCTGAATCAACTTGGTTCTGTGTGCGTGCATGTGGAAGACAGAGGTTGACATTGGTGTCTTCCTTGATCACTCTTTTTTTTCCCTCCCCTTTGAGACAGGGTCCCACTTTGTATCCCTGGAACTCACAGAAAACAATCTCCTTCTGCCTCCCAAATGCTGGGATTAAATGCATGCCCACTACACCCCACCTAAATCACTTTTCACCTTATAGGCCTCTCACTTTGGAGCTCACTGATTGGCCAATGAGCCCCATGGATCTTCCTCTTCTACCTCCTCAGT